GTAATGACAATTTAAGGATAAATTTGGGAAAAGTGGCACTGAATATAAACAAGTAACAGTGGGAAATGAATGAGTATCAAAGATGTACTACTGTATATATGTGCATATAATATGTGTGTAGTCACAAATTCTGCTTCACTGAACAACCATGGATAAGCAAAAGGAAACAAAATGTTTTAATTTGCAAAGGTGAACTACATTTACCTCTAAATAAAACTGGTAGAGTTCATTCAAATAAGTGAAACATGTTGCCTTTTTAAATGAGACTGGAAAACTGATCAGCCTTGGAGAATCTGGAGTCAGAATGTATGGATAAATGGTGCAAATTATCAGAACTTATTCCCCTGTTGGTATAAGTGAAGATATGTTGCTAAACCCCCTGAGGATGTTACACATTGTGAGTCTATATGAAACAGGCCAAGGAGGAATCAGGTTGTCATCAGAACTGAAATTTAGTTGATGCCTGTAAAAATGTAAATAATAAAACTTACTTCTCTAAAAAAATATAGAAAACAGTAGCTTGGGAGGGGTGGAGTTTGTAAGGGGGTTTCTCTTGGAATGCAATTGCAACATCATTTGTCTGCTCCAAAGAAACAAATGCATAACCACCAAATGTAGAATTTTTGCTACTCCCCCCCCCCCCAAAAAAATGGCAAATTTAATGCATTCTCAAAGTTAGGATCAAACTCCAGCAAATTTTGTGTATCCTAAAATAACACTTCATTTCTAAAATAAAGAAGATGCAGGTGGTACAGCTGATCTGAGCAGACTGGGGAGAAAAATTAATCTTTCAAACTGGTTCTCTGGAAAAGGCCACATAGATGTAGTTGCTCAGGTAATTTCTCTAGGTGTTGCATTAAGTATAAGCACAAAGGAACAAACAATTCCATCTTAGAGTCACTTACACAGCTGTTCAGAGAGAAAGAGTATTTTCTGGCAGAAAATTAGGCTAATTCACATTTATTTAAAACACCAAATGAACAAGTCTAAATAAACTAACCACCACCACCAAAAATAACAGACACAGTATTAAGTCAGTTGCACTTGTAACTTGTGAACATGAACTCCTAAAAGAATCAAAAAACATGCATCTGAATGTTCAACCCAGCAGGGCTGGCTAGCTGTTTGGCAGGTTGCTGCCCGAGGCACCACAGGAACCAGACAATCCCCATGTTCCTGGGTGCTCCCAAGGGATTTTCTGACCAGTAGCTTGAAGGTGCAGAAAGCAGCACATTGTCAGAGCATGATAAGGCTGGTGCATGGCCCATGCACAGGATTAGCCTGCTGCTATAAGCTTTAGTCTAGATCATAACTCAGAAAAAGGATTGTGTAGTATTAGTTCAGCTTCAGCTGGCACTATGTAACTCAGGATTCTCTGCCCAAAGTCATCTCATCTCTCAGATTTAAAATACTCTGTGTATTAACTGCTACATCTCACCAAGTGGATAAATCTCTGCTGAAGGGGGTATCTATGGCTGGACCAATGATTTGCTGTGACATTCAGTCTTATTTCTATGTTGAAAGTACAACAAATTAATGCAAGGTGTGCAAGAACTTTTTCACTTTTTCACTTGTGATGAGGCTGAAAGTAGTTTTGTTTCTGCTATCCCAGTTTCCATCTGAGCCCTCCCCTTTTCCATCACAAAATATAGTGTTTTGTAGCCTGGTACTCGATATATGTGAAGAACAAGGCATTGATAGTTTAAAATTAGGCCCTTGATCAAGTTGCAGCAGGTTCTTAAAAAACGTTCAGCCCACCCGGATTTAAGAAAAATTGCAGTTCTCTCCTGTAAGTCAAGAGGAACTGAACCAGATTGACATAGGCTGCTGTTGGATATTCTATCCCATAGGAGGCCAAGGAATAATTTTACATAGAATGAAAAATCTAACACTGCTAGTCCCCTCAGAATTATTGGAATATTTGAGGAAGGCATGGTAAGTTACTTCTCAAAAGCTTTTCTGTCTTTACTGTTTCTCTACAAAAGGTAAGTTCTAGTTGAGAGAAGTACTGAGATCATGATGCTCATGATCTAAATGTGACCAACTTTATAGCAGAAAACTCAATATTGCTGTGAAGCATGTGACTGCAAAAGCCAACCTGTGATGGAAAATCAAAGCCTACTTTTTCCCACAGCAGGTAGCCCAGTTTGGAAAGAAAAAGCCTGCTTGAACTTCCACACATTTTCAATTTCAGAGAAAGCCATGATAGAATAAATTTGGTTTGATGGGACCACAACAGGTCATCCTTTCCAAACTTCTACCCAAACAGTGTCAACTGAGAGGGCTGAGTGGTTTTCCCAGGGTTTTAGTCTCATCTTGAAAAACTCCAAGTATTTTATTTGAACATTTTAAAAATTAATCTGACTGAACGCCATGACAATGTCTCAGTGTTAGAACAAAGCTTTGAAGAGGTTTTAGGTACAGACTCATTCTCTGCTGCTGTATTTCAGATAAGATTTTTCCTTTTAACATATTTTAGCACTCTACGGAACAACACTACTCTGGTAGCTGCTTCCCCCAGCCACCCCATCTCATGCAGAAGGCCAAATATGTGTGGAGGCCTAGCAGGTTAGTTGCCTCAGAAACTTGAAGCAGGGGTTCTCCTTAGATTTTGCTGTTCCTCTTCTGCCCAGACTCCTGATGCAAAATGAAAAGCAATTAATTAATCCCATTTACGTACAGAACTTTTAATCTATCACTCAATTACTTTGAAAAGGTATATGCTAATAATGTATTTCTACCAAGTCTAAACGGTCATAGCCAGGCAGGGAGGGTCTAAATTCATTGCAATGGATACAAGCAAAGTGTGACTGCAGCAAGGGACACCTTGAAGTCTTTTTTCCTGATTGCACTGTGCACAGGAGATGACAATTTCACATCAAACATCTCAGAGCAAAGCTAGAAGAATACTTGCACTTCTTGCCAAGCTGCATGATTCAGGATATACCCAAAATCCTTGGTAACTTGATTATATCTCTCTCTTCCTTGCCTGAGATGGTTCAGACGAATAATACAACCCAAGACTCACCTAAAGAACTTGAGAGCTGAAGCTGAATTCTGTCTCAAGGCTTTCCTGCCCCTTCTTCTCGGGCAGGAATCACTGACATAACAAGAAACACATGGAAAACTGCCCAGCAGCCATCTCAAATGAAGCTTGCTCAACTTTGTACTGCTTCTGTTTTTTCCAATCAGCTGGCACCTAGGGTGTGGAAACTCTCTCAGCACACTTAGCAACATGCTGTCTTAAATGGGGGAGCGAAAAAAAAGCGCCCTAGAGAGAGAAAGGATCATTGTTTGGATAGCACATACCTCTTCCACCTGGCTGGTCCTCCACTCTAAAAAGGAGGGTGCTCTCTCTTCATGGAGGTAAATCAGTCTCCATGTCTACTAGGGGGAAAACTGCTTAAATAAACTAGCTAACAGGACAGACATGGTTCAAAATCCCAGACTGAAGACAGCATTGATTAATTTAAGTTAGGCAGCCCAGGTAGAACCCTCCTGGTATATCCTTTTTACCTATGTCTATATGCCTTGTTTGGAAGTAACTTTTATTGTGTCAAAGTGTATTTAGATTATTTAATAATTTTTTTAAGTGGCCATTTTCTCTTAGTGTCTGTGTATCTTAGTGTGTTATGTATCAGGAGTTACGTAAGTTACCTTTAAAAAACATAAACTGTAAAGAAGGATTTCTTTGCAGTTGTGAGTTGTGAGTCATTCAGTGTACTATGTGTTACTTCCTTTTATTTTATTTTTCAGATTTTTCCCATTGCTGACAGTTTAAAAAATGTCAGCCCTATATTAAATTCTGTCTAATTGGAAAAATAAAATAATCAGGGCTTCTTCAGTTATGCTGCTTAGTTAAAAAAGGTCACTATGATGCAAGTAAAGTAGTTTTACAAAGTACTTCAGGACACATATGTAAGAAACTTCCACCAATTACTAGAGGAGTAAAAACTGTAAAATATAACTATTTTAACACTTTCCCATAAAAGAATTTGTGTACTTTATTCTGCTATCTTCAAAGTTTTTTGCTGATCTTTTCAATGCATTCAGCCTAAGATTAGAAATGTTGACAATTTTTTATTACTCCTAAAGTTTTAAAAATGTTAATTCTCTTGCCAAAATAAATGGAGAAAAAAATCAGGTCAAACTTCAGTTCACTGACACCATCAGCATTTCTGCAATAGGTCTGAGTAAAATACAGACATTTATAGCTGCTGTGGTGGTAGCTGTCTCAGTGACTGAATGGGAGATGAAATTTCTGAAAACTGAAGCATGCAGGTTTGACAGAAATGTGACAAGGCAGCTTTTGGCTATGAACAACCAAACACAATGGATTTGGCTCAGTCGGACATAATATAGGACTGTGTGGTTAATGTCTCATGCAGGCAAACATGGAAAGAGCTAAATCGCCTTCTACTACAGGGGTAGGTAAGACTGGGATCTCCATAATGATGGAATGAGAAATTAATTCTAGTTTCAGAAAATTATTAGCTAGACATGCAGCTCCTATGTAAAAGCAAATACACTAGCTGTCCAAACAGGATGAAGTACCTAATATCTCTGAGACTCTGGACTGAATATCCACATAGAGTTGGAAATTGTTGATGAACAGTTGGGAATTTTGATGGCTTTAGGCCCAGGACCTATCTTTCTTCTGATTTCTGCAGTTTTCAGTCAGCCAGGATGTGTGACACAGTGAGTGCGGATTTTACAAGGCAATGCGCTCAGGAAGTGTCCCTTGTACAAGTAATCTGGCAGAATGAGGGATTTGCTCACTACAGGAATACTTCTAAATTCATTTTCAGTCAGGAAAATACACAAGTGGCATCAGGAAGCTAAGTCAAAACTCCCTGACCACTACCCTAAAAATTCAACTATATATTTGAAACTAATGAAGTGAGAGACAATTATAGGCAAACATGGTCTGAGGACATGGCACCAGCTGAAGTGTGACACAAAACAGTAAAAAGAAAAGAGAAATTAATATACACCCTGCATGCAAAAGCCAGGTTCTAAAATATGGATCATCCTTTCAGGCTAAAAACTGCTCCATCCCCATATGCATATTTGAACAGCTGATGTAAAACAAGACTGTTCTCCAAATAAATTAATAAGACAGTATAAATAAAGGCATATAGACCATTCATAAATACTCTGTTGGCAATAGAACACACTGGAGCTGCCTTTGCTGATAGCTGCATTAGCAGCTGCAGTTGGGCTGCTGTGGAGGAGGGGTGTCCTTTAGCTGTGTGTTCTGGTTGCTGGCAGCAATGGTGGGACTCATCTCCAGACTTTCTGACATTTTGTCACAGATGATATCCACAAGTCGCTCAAACGTCTGCTTGACATTAATGTTTTCCTTGGCACTCGTTTCAAAAAATTCAAATCCTAAGAAAATAAAGAACATATGTTTATGTTCTAGGCATGTTTCGGTATCTCCAATTAACATACAAACTTTGCTTGACCAAGAGACACTCAGAAAGGAAACTCATGAGAGCACACATATGGAAGAAGAGCAGTTAAAATTGTAACACAATCAGAGTAAGTACACTAGTGCTACTGGCTTTGTACAAGGCTGGATGAAGTCAGGACCAAATATATTCCCTTAGAAAAACTCTAACACAGTTTAATCTAAAGCTTAATACCTGTTTCAGAGAATTATTTTAGGAAAGCCCTGTATGTACAGCCATTGGGAACAAGTAATCTGCTGCTCATCTCTAACTATTATGTTCCTCTGAGCATTATGCAGTATGCCATTTCCATTGTGTTATTTAAGGTGGTGCTGAAATACAAAATAATGCTTGCAAAAGTACAGGTAAAAAACCAAGCAAGACAAGAAAAGATTTTTGCAATTTGATAGTTACTAAAGTTATATGTGAATCCATGGTACCAAAGGGATTCCCAACTCCACAAACAGAACTAATTAAAAAAAAAACAAAACCAAACAACGGAAATGCATGTAAGGAAGAAAACATCTTAATTCATTTGTACAGATGGACTTTTTATCTATTCATTCCCAATGAATAGCCCAAAGGCAAAAACATAGCTATCCTTGGCCCTTAAGGGACACTGGAAGTTTTTATAGAGCGGAGACAGCTGCTCTAAGCCCTCTAGAGACAGTTTCCCTAAGCTCTCCTCTCTGCCTCCATTTGTACCACATCTCACCTCCCACATGGGTCTCATCTAGGCCAGGTTTGCAGCTTGGCAGTCAGCCTGCAACCTAGAAAGCTTCTGCCAGAGCTGGGTCTTCCCACATGCTTGTTTCCTTTGTAAAGCATTTGTGTTCCTTAATTTATTGTTTTCTAGGACTTTTCCCACATTTTTCCCAAGTTAGGACATTTCTCACCCATTCTCTGATAATTCACAACTTTCTTCCATTCCTATCTTTCCACTACCTATGGGTTCAATATTCAAACAGTTTACAAAACATCTGATTCACTGTTAGCTTTACAGAAACCTTTGCACAGTCTGGCTTACCCCTTGCATAACTATTTTGATTCCTTCTGATTAAATCTGAATACAAATGTTCAATTAATACTGTCTTTCAGTATGTTAAAAATCCCTGTCAGAAAATTTCAATTACTTGAAATTCCTGGCAGAAGGACAGAAAACAAATCTTTGTGGGTCTGGTGGTTTGGTTTGATTTTTTGAATGTTTTGTTTTTTTCCATTTTGAAAGGCCACATGACATTTAAATGCAAGTACTTTGGTGACATTAGTATTATGAATTCAGTATGCCATCTAAACAAAATGTAATCTACACATTCAGTCCTATAACGCTGTCTACGCAACTTTTGCAATTTGAGTTCTACCCTAGAATTACTGCAGATAATTATATTTACCTTGACATGATAACCCAGCAAGAAGTAATAAGCAATGTACAAACTCAACTCTGCTCTGTTTTGGGTTTTTTTTGTATTTTTAATTTATGTAAGGTGCTGTACTGAAGTGTCACAAAGCACTAAAATGTTTTAATGTATAGGAGCTAAGCACTGGCAAAAGTTAGTGTTCATAGGGAGATTAGATAACAAGAGCTACAAATATTGTACAGGAATTTATTTGGTCATACGACTTCTGTTAGTATCAGGAAGAAGTGTAAGGGTAAGCTCACCAGTATGAGAATACTGGTTTTTTGCCATAAAAACTTTTCCATTCCATATTTCTCTGCAAAGCAGGAAAACTGTGAATAATAGAAGACCTTCAACAAAAATTAGATACAAGGATATAGTTTTAATCTATAAGATGCTGCTTTAGTTAAGCTTTGCTTGCACATTTCCTTTGTTCTAAACTAGAAGGAAAGTGAGGAAAGACAGGGTAGCATCACTTGTTGGTGGCTTTGGCCCTCCTGCAGAGCTCCATGCAGGCAAAAGCTGTTCAGATCATTTGGGAGCAGCTTGGAGAAAGGAAGATCTTCCACAATTTCAGTATGCTGTGTTGAAATTCAGATGCAGCCCCAGCCCAGCAATGCAGTCAGGAATCTTCCACAGCTCCTAGTGTCTTCTCTACAGGAAGGAGGAAAGCAGCCATTCCACAGAGGAACAAGCAGAATCACAGGGCAGAAGGGTTGAGTTACAATGGGAGAATGATGCACCAAAGCTCGGGACTGGGAAGAGCACTGAATCTAAAGAACATTTAGGAGTGGAACAGTTTTTACAGTTATGAAGATAGAATGAGCTCATCAGATGATAATGAAATAGCAGATATGATATCTAGGTCTAGATCTAGAGAGAGAAAAGCAGAAAATGAAAGGAAAAGAGTCACAGAGAGGAGGCCTATGTCAAGAACTACTGTAACAAGGATAAGATCAAGAAAACAGGCCTGCTATCTTGGTGAGGATGTTTTGCATGAGAACATCATGAAAAACTTACAAGGCACCCATTCTCCAGATTAAATGGAGGGTTACGGAATGTCAAGCACAAAATAATTGATTCAAATAAAATACTTTGAAGATTTCTATGGAATTTCAGATATGATTTCAATATAAGAAGGAAATTGCAGTCATAGCACTGATGTAGTTGGATATCAGGCTATGAGGGTAATCCATCAATTTAGACATTAATTGCCTGGACCTGCTAGGCTAGGCTTTGCTCCATAGATGAAGCAATAGACAGACTTGAGAGAAAGTGGCTGAGCAGCCAATTGCCTCCACAATAAAACTAATGCTATATTCTTTACTGGAACTATAGATGTGGGAATTTTGAACAGTGTGGGAAATTAGCCCAAAGAGCTCCTTCTGTGTATAGACCTATGATAGGTGCTTTTTATATGCTTGAATGTGCAAATAAACATCCATCTTCCCAAGAAGAGAATGGGGCATGCATATGAGCTCCTTCCAGGCAGTTCTCTGTAAAACAGATGCAGCTGCAGATAGGTAAGACACTGTTCTCACAGGTGCAGACATGGTAACACAGGAGAGTCTTTTGAAGCCAATTAAGAAGTTAAGAAAATCTTTGTGCAGTTTCGGGTAATCACTGTCAAAGCATCGTGGTATGTACTGAGCAAGTAGGACCAGCAGGATTACAAAAATTCAGCAGAACAGGAGTTCAGAATCTTTCTGAAGCAGCCAAAGACACCATTACAAAGCCCCTTGCAAGAGAGGCTCCTGTAGGCACTCAGAACAGCAACTGATTGTCCTGAGCAAGGGATTCAATTTCTCATGGGAGTATTACCTTGTGCAAGATCCCCCAACAAATTAGGTTGGTTCTTTTGGCTGGTTTGTTTGTTTAACCAAAACCTTGCCTGTGGAACAGTTTCAACGAGCTATACAGAATTTTTCCTAGCAGGGTGTTTTTGGAATCAGGTTTAGAATTCTGTTTGTTTTCATTTTCTTGTGGAATATTTTGCAGATCTTTTTTCCCCATGGCACCTCCTTCTCTACTGACTCATCTTGCAATTATTTTACTAATGGCTCTTAAACACCCTAAGCTTCATAAATCCCTGCGTATGACAGCCTAAGTTCTATGACTTCTAGTACTTTTTTCAAGTTTTTTTCCACTGCTCATTATTAATTGAGATAAAATATTTTCCATGGGGGTATAAGTGTGAAGTGAGACAGCTATCTGGTGCTGCCCAGGGAAGCAGAGCTCAAAGAACACCGTGTTCCCACCACGTGTGATGATCTGTACTGCTGATGGGGATGAGGCCAGGCAGAGGAGATTATTGCAAAGACATGACAAGCCCAAGGGGTAAGTGGGTAGGTCAGGGAGAGCAGAGCTGAAACTCAGAAAATCCAACACACCAAAGTGTTGCCTGAACATATGTACAAAATGTATGGAACATGGAATATGATATTTTAAATGCTTATCTTGTGTTTAATTCTGTTTTCCTTTGCTGATTCCCTCTTTCCCTACTACTGACTCAAAGAAGGCTGGCAAGCTCTTGGCAGCTCCTACAGAGCACTACAGCAGCAGAGCTAGACAGGCCACTGGCACGGTTCTGTTGTTCACCTGGTGATCTACAATGCACACAGAGCATTTAGATGGTTTTCCTGAATCATACACCCAGCCAGAATTACTGACTTTGTACCCTCCCTGCCTCACATGTGTGCTAGCTCTGTAGAGGCTCCTTCATAACTGCTCATTAACACTTTTTTATGTCTGCTTTCAAAACACAGGAAAGAAAAAAGCCCAGAAAGCACAGTCATATGCAAAGAGAAGAACATTCTGCACTCTCTCATCTTCCTGAGAAAACATGACATTAAGAGCACAGGCTAGACAGCAAACTTTAAGAATATTTCCACAGACAACACAGACAAGATCTGTGCTGATGTTTCACAAGTGGTTCAGGAGGCATTTTGGTTTCAGAGTGTTTTTCTACAATTAAGACAATTTAATTTATCACCCCATATGTTACATTTTACAGATGTCCACAAGGGTATGTTCCCTCACTAACTATCCTTCTAAATTTTCATGAAGACAAGCTTGAACTGTGGTCCTTTTGTCAGTGTCTTGTTCAATCCAGAATTGTGAGGAGTAGTAGGAGATTGCAGCATCAGAGCAAGAAATGGCTGCAGGAAGCTGCTCCCTTTGTAAGAGTAGGGTGTAAAAGGCAACCTCCAGGAAGTCATGGGAATTAATAATTTAATAATATCATTGTATATAAAAGAGAGGTATTAATCAGGCCTTATCTTCTTAAAATTGCAATCTGTGGGTAGTTCTGAGCAGGCATTGGCAGGCACTTACCTTCTTGCCTGCTATAAATAGTATGTAATAAGTTTTGCATTCACATTATATGCTGTCAGTCAAGGCAACTGCAGGACCTTTCTTCTCTGCTCAGATGTCCACTTCCTCAGAACTGTCAATATTTTTTAGTCAAAGAGAGAAAGGACACACATGGCATGACTGAAAGGTCATTTCTCCTAGGGAACTGGGCTGAAAGTAGCTGGAGACC